TTTAAATTAATGATTTTATATAATAAATAAGTAATAATTACAATTTTTTATTTTTATGAAAATAATTAATAAAGACTATATAGAGAGAAAAAATTATTAATTATTAATTATTTTTATATAAAATTATCTAAATAAATTTCATGCAAAAGTCAATACAACTAAATCAAATAAGGTAGACTAATTTGCAATCAAACCGCCATCATAATGTTATTAAGAGAGTGGTTTTTTTGAAGGTGAGTTGCACTCTAAAACATCCATTGAGAAAAGATAAAAGCATTATTGATAAATTTTTATGTATGTATGGTTCATTAATGATGCTTTTACGTGTGGTACGGGTTAAAAATAAACATTTCTGATTTTACCATAAATAAATGACAGATTGAAGTTATGGTGGCCATTTTTCTTGTTCAATCATGTGGGGAGGGTGAACTTATTTATGGAAATAGAATTTCCCTTTCTTCAAGAGGAAAAGAAAAAATGGACCGGTGATAATTATTTGCCAAAAGAAGCAAAGAAAAAAAATAAAATAGTTATAATATTATATAAAATTATAATTTTATAGTTATAACATATTATTAAATAAATAATATTATAGTATGAGTAAAATTTTAAATTAAAAAATTAATTATATAATAATATATTATAATTATAAACTTAAAATAAGACATAACATTATAAATAGATTATTTTTCAAAGAAAAAACTGAGTTTTGCATAATGCTAACACAATGGTTCTGCTATGTTGTAAGAGATTGGTGGATGCATTAATGCATTGCAGGAGACCACTAAAATATCATTGCTAGGTAGCTATATTGAACGTTGTAACAGTTTTTACATCATTTATCAGGTAAAGGTACTGTTTCTTTATGTTGCCTACCTGACGTCTCGCTAGGTTATAGCGATCATTATTAATGTTTTTTTAATTAACCTTTTAATATTTGATAACCATATTAAATTTTAATTAATTTGAAATCGAATTTTGTCGGACTTTATTAGGTGAAAATTCTCATAACGTTTATTTTTTTATTTATAAGATTCAAACTTGAGATTTTATTTAAAAGAAGTTGAGTTCTTTTCATTCAGACCAACAAATCGTTGGTATTATTATTAATGTTGTCAGTATTAAATTTTGTAAAATATTAAGTTTAAAAATATTAATTTTGTTTAATTTAATTAATAAATAAAATTAATAATTATAATAATTAACTAATAATTAATAAATCAAATAATATTTATAATTTATTAATCAAATTAAATAAAATCATTATTTTTAATGATAACATTTTGCACAATTTGATGGTCATGACATTAATAATGGTGGCTATATCCTTGACTCTGTATGTCCTATGAAATTTACTATTCTACCTTTTTTGGTGGAAATTTATAATTCTAATTGATGCAACGTGTTTACTTCAATTCGTTTTTCTGTTTGCTTTGTACTCATTCCCTTCTAAAATAACCGTCTAAAAGTGGTTTTTTATTTTTAATTTGTCTAAAATTAATTATTTTTTATTTTTAAAATAAATAAATAATTTTTTATACTTAAGCTTACTATTATTTACTTATTTTTATTAATTTTCTTATTAAAAAATTTCTCTTTATCTTTTAATTTTTTTTTAAAATAATCTAAATATATACATAAATTATTTTAAAATTTTTTAACTAAAAACATAAAAAATTAATAATTATTTTAAAATAGATAGAGTAATATACAATGTTTTCTTTCTTGTGTGATCGAATTCAAATCAAGTTGCAGCCCAAATTCTGTAAGTACTGGAGCTTTGCTCAGGTGGTCATTGGACCTACTCTCACCACACTTCATGTGACTTCTCTTTGAGATTTCCAACTTGGCATAAGAAACCCTAAAAAATTAAAGAATCAATGCTTAACAATTCCTTTAATTTGATTACATTACTTTTGACAATACTTCTCATGTGATCTGATTTGTTTTGCAAGATATTATGCCTCATGATCATTACATGAGTCAAGCCATGGGCACAGAAAATCCCAATAAACAAATCCATATGATAACTTTAAGGTAGAAAACAAAGGATTCAGATGTTAATGTGTGGACATACAGTCAAACATCCCATGTGACACTGTGAGACAAAGGAGCAAAGTGAGACATAAAATCCATATTCTATTCAAAACACCAGTTCATAGAATGTGTAAAAGATGGTCGGTCCATCTGAAAGCTACTGTAACACAATAACAATGAATCAAACTTTGTTCCACTGGAAAATGACATCAAGGAAGGTTCAAAGACACCCTAATTTGAATAAATTCGATCACGGATTTGAATTTACACCACATCTTTGAAAAAAAAGAAAAAGAAAAAGACTATCTTAGGCAATATCTCAAAGAGTTGGAACTTGATACAAATCAAAAAGTTGGAGGCATCAAATTGGAATCTTTGAAACGAGATCAACTTTAGAAAAGAGAAGGCTATACTCTATTGTACGGTTTATGATCAGACGTAATAAAAGAACATGAAATTTAATAAATATAACATAATTATTTCAACTTGAACTAAATAATTAGAGATTTACAACCCTAACATGCTGGAGGTATGGTGGAAATGGGATAGATTTCTAATCCCACCTCAACGAAATCTTATCAACCAATATCTTTAATCCTCTCCTTCTTCCGTTAACATAAACAAATGGAATTATTAAAGAGATGGATCTCTCCAAGAACACTTCCTCGCATTTTTCTATTGTCTATCACAAGGGAAAAAGAACACTCTCGTAGATCTTCTCTATTTTTTATCTTTGTTTCTCCCGTTTGAAAATGAAGAAGAGCTGTATTGATAGATAGATACTTCTATATGAATTTATTTTACCTATATTCTCCATTGATTTCACCGCATCTCATTTCTGTGGAATTCTTGTACTCTTCTTTGATGTTGCCGCATTTTGCTCTCTTTTACTAGCAACTCAGCATAGAGAAGCTCATTCCACGCATCTGGCACACCCGGAAGGCACCAATGGCTGCAATCTTGATACTTTAGCGGTGTTCTCCTTTCTTCCTCAGTGAACGTTTGCTTCCGGTAGATTGAGGGGTGACCATCCTTCCGGAAATCAGTCAATCTAGTGATATTTAGGTAGGTGACATGGGTTTTCATCCCTCTCAGCACCTGCTCCAGCACTAGCATTTTGGGGGGATATGGTGTTAGATAGGTCTCGTTCTTGATGGGCTCAGTCTCATCATCACATGCCCCTCCTGAATTCCATTGCCCACCACTGCAAGGAGACACAACCAACATCGATATAGATCAGAATGGTTATGCCATTGCTTTAGAGGAACAATGTTACATAATGATTGTATATAAGAAAGAAGAAAGATCACTTGTAGGTATGAGCAGTGTAAACTAAAAACCGTTTAGCAAGAAATAATTCAAAAAAGAGGCAATGTTTCATCAAGACGATGCCAAATTTTGTTTGAGCTTACCTGAAATGAGAAGTAGAATAACCCCTGAAGAAAACCATAGACTTCTTTGGATTTACATTAGCATCAACCCATCTAGCCCATGTTGTCAATGCTCTCCGAAATGCCTCAAGAACATTCAATTCACCATAAACATGATTGCCCTCTTGATAATAATCTTTCCTACAAAATTTAATTCTTGTGTAAGTTAAAAGAAAATTGAAACCAAAAAATAAGAACCAGAACATTGAGTAACAGCTACAGCATTTGAAAGTTATCAGCAAAAAATTGGACTACCCTTTCGAAGTTTTGTCATGAGTCCACCAATGTCCAGTGTTGAAAATGATTATATCTGCACCTTTATAGTGATCAGCAGACTCTCCTACTAGATCAAGCCGAAGAGTCTCCTTTGTTCCATTGTTGTCTGCTACTTCCCATTCCCGAACCAAGAAAGGAGAAACAAAAAACTCCACAGTGAGACCATAATCCTGCCCATCATCCATTTGAACAAAAACACAAAAAGAATGAAACTTAGATAAATAATTATGGAAATTTAACCCAATCCATAAGTCAAACATTACTATATATCGACAATAAGTACAAGTCATAATAGCTTGCCTTGAAAACGAAGGAATAAGAAGCTTCCCCTCGAAAATACGACCTTCCGTGAGCTTCATAAACTTTCTTTGGATTTTTTGCAGCACTTCTCAAAATGCATACCAGAGATTCCCACATGTTTCTATTCAGGGAATCGCCCACAAAAACGAGCCTTTTCCTCCTCAGAAGCTCCAACATGTGAGCTCCATTCAACCTAATCAAAGAAATTCAAACTTAATTGCTAGTCAATTTTCTAATTTCATATGCATGTATACAACAACCCCTATCATAATTTCATAAATGCCTAATTTAAAGACCAAAATTTATAAAAAAATAAGAAATAAAAAAATCATTTGCTTTTACCGTCAATAGAAAATTCAATTAACCCAGATCACAAGATAACTGAAAAAAGGTAAAAATGAGAAATAAATTGGAATTCAAGCATATACCTTGGTAAAGTGCATCCTCTAGGTTTCCACTTCATTTTTTGATAATCTTTATCAGGCCTTCAATTGAGAATGCAATTAAACTGCTTATCAATCAAGGGACAAGACCTAGCTTTGTACAGCGGATATGAAACATCCCTAACCCAATTTCCATCAAACAAATCGCAATTCATCAAAGACTGCATCAAATTCTCAACCCCCTGTTTCGCCGACGCCCCTGAATCCCTACCATTGCTCTGTTTTGTCCCATTTCCCTGTTTCTTTGACAGAGAAGCTGCAATTGTGTAATTCGCCCCAACCCCTTTCTCCACAACACTCTTTTCTCCGTTCCCGGGAGAATTCGCCTGAGAACTTGTGCTCTGGTTCACCGGAACTGGAGCATTTGGGGTCGGAATTGATATCTGATTGGACTCCAAGGTTTGAACTTCAGCAGAACCACTTCTAGAATGAGTTTGATTGCTTGCATTTGGGGCCCGAATTGATGTCTGATTAGAGTTGAAGCTTTGAACTTTAGCAGAATCACTTCTAGATTGAGTCTGATTGCTTGTATTTGGGGATTGTTTATTCCCAACAGGAACACTTGCAATCTGATTTGCATGCAAAACTGCAACTGGTTGTTCTGAACTGGTGATGGGGTTCTGAGAAGTAGTGTTATTTGAACTGGGTAGTGTAATATTACTGTTTTCCACAATGGGTAATTCTTTACCGATCACCGGAGATTCAGAGCCGGTGTTGGTAGATCCGGTGGTGTTCGCTTGTGTAGGGAGAGAAGAAGTAACGTTACGAACTAGTTGGTATTGTTCTTGCTGTTGAGAAGAATCATTGGAGAAAAAGTGAGAGAAAAAGGAAGAAAATTGAGATTTATAAGAATCAGAGGATGCAACGGCGGAGTGAGAGCTCCCGGCGGTGAAGAAGTTGGTAAACCAAGGAGCAGAAGGGTTTGGGGAAGGATTAAAAGCTAAAAAAATAGTGAAAAGCAAGAATGCAAGCATTAACCCATATGCAAAAGCGACTGTTCTCCTAGTTTTGATGATGGAAAAGAGGTCGGAGATGAAAGCTCCACCGTTGATCGGAAAGTGCTTGGTGGCATCCGCCATTAAAAAGGTGCGTTCTTCCTCCAAGTTCCTATCTAAAAAAAAAAAGCCTAATAATGAAGGAATGGGGCGGAGAAACCGTAGAGAGAGGAGTTTGAGGGGAGGAAGTGTTTGAGTCTGGGGAGAGTGGGAGTGTGGGGCAGAAAGGGTGGAGACAGCAAGGAAACGTAGTTAAAGTTGTTCGGGAAATGAGGGTTTCAACTTCCAGATAATTGCACTACCGCCACTACCGTTTTTGCTCTTGGGAATGGAATGGGTAAAATAGCAGGTAGGAAAGTAAGTTTATCATTATAATATAAGATATTAAATAGATAAATTTATATAATATTATAAATAAATTTTAAATAAAAAAATTTATTATATAATAATATTATATTAAATTTTTATAATATAAAATAAATATTATAATTATAATATTTTTGTTTTTTTAATTCTTT